GGCTGAGATGCTTCGGTTTAGGGCAGAGATAGTATATAAAATCTGCAGATATAGATTATTTGAAGAATAAATGTATTATCTGTTTGATATATTATTATTTTGTGTAGGTTTATCTTACAGGAATAAGCGGTTTGATATATTGTTGTTTTTGTATATATCTGTTTAAATGTATTATCTGTTTGATGTATTGTTATTTTGTTAGGTTATTCCTAGAATATTGTTGATGTATTGTTATCTTGTTAGGTTATTATCGGTGTATTCTCAGGTTATTCTCGGGGTTTTCTCAGATTATTCTCGGGGTATTCTCAGGTTATTCTCAAGATATTCTTAGGTTATTCTCTGGGTATTCTCAGATTATTCTCGGGGTATTAACAGGTTCTTCCCGGGGTATTCTCAGGTTATTCTCAAGGTATTTTTAGGTTATTCTCAGGTTATTCTCAGGGTATTCTTAGGTTATTCTCAGGTTATTCTCAGGGTATTCTCAGGTTATTCTCAGGGTATTCTTAGGTTATTCTCAGTTTATTCTCGGGATATTCTCAGGTTATTCTCCGGGTATTCTCAGGTTATTTTCCGGGTATTCTCAGGTTATTCTTCGGGTATTCTCAGGTTATTCTCAGGGTATTCTTAGTTTATTCTCAGGTTATTCTCGGGGTATTCTTAGGTTATTCACCGAGTATTCTCAGGTTATTCTTGGGGTATTAACAGGTTATTTTCGGAGTATTCTCAGGGTATTCTTAGGTTATTCTCTGGATATTTTCAGGTTATTCTCGGGGTATTAACAGGTTATTCTTAGGTTATTCACCGGGTATTCTCAGGTTATTCTCGGGGTATTAACAGGTTATTGTTGGGGTATTCTCAGGTTATTCTCAGGGTATTCTTAGGTTATTCTCCGGGTATTCTCAGGTTATTCTCGGGGTATTAACAGGTTATTCTCGGGATATTAACAAGTTATTCATAGGTTATTATCGGGGTATTCTCGGGTTATTCTCGGAGTATTGTCATGTTATTATCAGGGTATTATTAGGTTATTCTCCGGGTATTGTCAGGTTATTCTTGGGATTTTCCCTGGTTATTATTGGGTATTTTGAGGTTATTCTTGGGGTATTCTCATGTTATTATCGGGGTTATTCTGTTATCAACAGACAGATAAATTACAAACCATATATCTACAACTTCCAATTGGAATAATGTTATATGAACTTGTACATTAATACAGATGAGTTAATGTGGGCATAACACGTTATAACATGTGAATTATATTGGGCACAGAGCATGTCGGTGTGACAATTTCCTGACTCAGAGAGTTTGACGCCGCGAACGTATTTGGGTCGTAATTCCTGTGCGATTCTTGTGTCATATATGTTTCTTGATTTTTTCCTGCAAACAGTTGTAAAATAATAAGACAATTAATTTTACATATAATCGTTAGTATATGGAACTTAGAATGGTAAATATATGTAATGTAGAGATATATACCTTTAGCTCGCTTGTTTTTTTCCCAGTGTCATTTCAACCTCGCATTAAAAATACCTTTCGATCTCATTTTTGCAGGATCATTCACATTGCAGTCACTGTTATGAGATTAGTCACTGTTATGAGCAGTCACTGTTATGAGATTTCCTCTTTTTGTTTGGCATATTTGGTTTAGGATCCTTCGCATCTAATATATCTTCAATACCTTCGAACCCTGTTTTCAAAAATTCAATTATATATGTCTCGGCACGTTCATTTCCATTAGTTTTATTAATTAATTGGTAGGCAAACTTTTGAGCATGTGACCGAAATAGGATTCCTCTAGATGTTGTGCCAGAAATTTGAGCCCGAGAGTTTTTCATATGTTTGTATCCAAAACTATTATAGATATCTTTCTTTGTCTTAGCAAACCATCTGAATAATAAATATTTCTCGGGAATCTTTGTTATATTATTAGCATTAAGGACGCGTAGACAGTGAGAGCAAATCAGACCTGTCATTTCGAATTTCTTGCAACTGCAGGTGATGTCGAAATTAAGCCTATCAAATGTAACAAGTCAGGCTCTACTTGTGTCCTGATTATCCAAACCTCTAACATAGAATTCGCATGGACTCTCAACTGAGAAATCGACTGTCAATCCACATAACCCGTGAAATAACTCGGGTATAATATGTTGCAGCTTGCCTCAACACTGGGCTTGTTTTAACTGTTGGTGTAATAATATTTTGAAAGCTTTTGAAGTCTTCATCCTTTTTGTTCTTTCTCCATTACTTCATAATATTTTCTAACCCCAGAAAGCAATCTGTTAGGGAACTAGTGGGCTTAGATGCACCATGACAAACATTATTTGTGGACTCACTTCTTTGAGTAGACAAGATTTTCATTCCAAAAATTTCTTGATTGAATGCAGTTGACCAGTTAAGTCTTGTACAATGCATCTAGCCCACATGTTGTTGTGCTGGTTTCCTTGCTCGATCATTAGAGTCCAAGTAACTTCGAACTCATCTTCCGAATCACACTTGCTCATGTATTTATAAAATAGATTGTTACGCTCTTGTACGTCACACCGCAATGAACTTTCGACGAGAATTTCTTATAGATATGTCATTGGCATAATCTATGTCTAGTGAATGGAAGACAATCTGCAATAGCTCTTGTCATCGCTTGATCCTG